GAAGGCAACCGTGAGGCTGACATGGTCCCCGGTGAAAATGAGTTTGACACCCCTGGATCATTTAAAGGGCCTCCTTGAGAGTTCTCTTTGCATTCCTAGAAGTCAGATCTTGTGTTTGGAGCAAGGAATTCCAGCACAATCCATGTGAGCAGGTAAGTACTCATGGGAGCCTGCATATGGGGCATCTGTCAGAACGCTTGCCTGCAATCTCTTTCTCCTGCTAGACCACATCCTTTGCTTGCCTTTAAATAAAAGTCATATTTTGAGCATACCTATGGAGTTTGGTAGGTCCTTTCAAATATACAAACTGGGGTAAATTTTGCAATGAATTATATATAAGGAACTAAAGTATGGTTTTATTATTTATTGAATTTTTATGCTTTGGGTGATTCTTAAAGGAGTTTAACAGGATTATTTGTAAGTCACATCCTTAAAATATTCAAAATGACTTTTATTTATGTAAACTTTGATTTTATTTTTCCTTCAGCAACACTTAATAAAAGTTCCCCAATCATAGTTTATTCTTTAATACATGTATTGATTATACTGATGAAAAAGCTCTGTAAACTACATTTTAAAATCTCATTATGTCTAGTGGACACCTATTAATTTTGACCATCTAACAACTCCATTTTCTTTGAGAATCAAATCTACTCTGCAATACAGCACACACGTGCGCATTTACAGGGCAGTCTCTGGGGGACCTTGGGCCAGAAAGTCACTTAACCATGATCACTGCATGTAAGCCATGCCCGAACTATCAAATTTCCTCCCTCTTAAACAATGGGGGCCCATCTGTCGCCGGAGGGAAACGGAAGCAGAACTGGCCTTCTAGACTCTGCATACATAAATAAAGATTTACACCCCACCAATATGAGACCAAATCTGGCTTAATTTCCTCATATGCACCATGCTTTATACCTCATTCAATCCTGCCACTGTGCATATGATGAAACTAAGTCCCAGAGAACAGTAATTATCTCCATAAGTTTTTTGTATATAAAGTGAAGCTAGAACTGTCCAGGTTGTCTGACTGCCAGAAAATGTTCTTTGATTATCAAAAAAAACTAGATTAAAGGGAGCTATCATTTTTTATTATTTGTTCTGGTTAATAAAAAATCATGTTGAGCAATTTCAGACACAGAAATGGAGACTTTCAGAAAAAATAATACTATCTCTACCATCCTGATACATACTGTAAAATTATCCTACATTACATCAGAAAATTCTTAAATGAATTCAAACTATTTTCCTTTACTGGTCATTTTACCATCACTATCTAGGTAACTGCTATGTCCCTCAGAGTAAGAGTCCACTATCAACAACTTTACCAGTGAAGGTGTCATCCAAAGCTAATGACTGAACATACTAGCAGATCTGGAGAACTGTCTCATAATTCAATTATAGTTCCAGCACTAGGCCACCATTTCTCTACGTTATTGTATGGAACACTAGAGAACCACAAGATGTTCTGTGAATAAAAGACACTAAAGTCAGATAAGTCTGGGAAAAGCCACATAAAATAAATGTATTAAATATACAAACCAATATAAATAATAAATAATTAAAAAATTAGTATTTGTGAAATATGTTTTGGAGAATACTATAACATTTCCAGATTTATATTTCCTGTAATCGCATACACAGTACATCACAATTTCCAGGTACTTTCGCTTCGATTAGCACTGCTATGTTTAAATGAGAATGCTGAGGTTCCAAAGTTAACTGACTTCCCATAGTCACAGAGCCAGAAACTACGGAGTCAGTGCTCAACCACAAAGGCTACTGGCTTCGACACTCCATGTCGGGCTGGTGTAGCACTGTGTTTTCTAAACAGATCCTCAGGACACCTTAAGGTATTCCTAACACTAAACATCACACTGGAAGGAATCTGAAAGCACAGTCAGTTCCTGGTTAGCAAGGTAACACTCACAAATGTTTTTTAAGAATAAAATACTTAGCCATTAAATGGGTTTAAACACGAAAAAAACCCAACCTGGGCAAAATTTTTATGGTAAATTACTTTAAAAGTCTAGTACTTTTTAAAGTAATTTACCATAACTGTTTGTTAGAAAGTAAGGGCAAGAAACAACACTTTAATTACTGAGGAAAATAACTAAATTTAGTAACAGTAATGAGGAAAAAACCCCTAAATTTTGATCCATCAAATCAAACATTTAGCATACTAAAGTTATATACAACAAATATGGCATATATATTACTTTATTAGGGTATAAAACACTTTTGTACTTTAATGTAAGAAAATGGTTTAGCGTTGCTATGGAACTCAACTATCGACATAAATTAAACTTTGGTGGGTTACCTAGCACTAGCAATAAACAGTAAACATTGTTACTATAGGAAATATTTCATATTTTATAAATAAAATAACTTCTGGTCATCTACATTTTTTGACTGCTGTACTATATACAACAAATGCCATCTCACCTTTTAACACCTGCCACAGAAAACTTTTTCTTTACTTACATTTTGTTTGGATTCTAATGTTGAAAATATTAAATAAATATTCACTATATTATTTATTTAATAATAATTTTAGCTAGTGACTCTTTTTTGATAAGATACTATAAACTCTATAGAAACTTATTTATGCCACCTCTAAAAGTTGGCTCTCAAAGAGGTAAGTTCTCAGTATAAAAATAAGATGAAGATTAAAAAGAAAATCTCCATTTGGCAACCATCACAGTAATAATTGATTCAGACAAGAAAAATCATCAGATACTAAAATCAGAGGGTAAGAATAGTATGTTTATAGGTCCAAAGTACTCCTTCAAATCAAAGTACTTACTGATTACAAATACAAAAAAATTCTTATTAATTTTAAAGGGATAAACAATATTGTTGCAATGGAGAGACCTAGTAGATAGAAGCTTAATCAAAAGTTCATACCAATGCAGGACAAATCAAATACAAGTTCCACTTGAAAGGATTAAAAAAGAACACATCAATCCTTTTGGGACAGTCCTGCCAAAACTGTGCAACCTAAACCCGATCATGATGAATGTCAGACAAACCAAAGTGAGTTACATTTATACAATAACTGACCTATAATATTCAAGTTCTGTCAGTTATGAAAGTCAAGAAAAGGCTCAAAAACTGTTCCAGACTGAAGAAAACTGAAGAAACATGACAACTAATTCTAATTTACATATACACTCTTTTGTTTTTGATAAAAGGCGAAAGGCAGTGATAAAGGAAAATGTCCTTGTGTGTAAGAAAGAGACACTGGAATATTTGAGGGTGAATGAGGAGTAATTTGACAAGTTCCTCTCACATGGCTCAAAAATATTTTTGTATAATACCAAAAAAATTAGATAAGCTTAAAACTGAAAAACTAATACTAAATATTTTTACCATTTTCAATACCAGTTTAATTTTCTTCTAGATTTAACAGGTTTCTAAACTGATCATCTACTTTTTGGTTTTATGAATTATTAGGTTGCAGTGGGATTGGGATCCTAAGATTTATGAGAATTCTCAGGGGTACTACCAGGATAGGGGACCTAGGCAGTAAGAGAAAGAAGAAAAAACTGTATTAAGGAAAAATGGAACCTACTACCACAAGGGCTATCCCATAGACACATGCACAAATAGATCTGTAGCAAATTTAAAATACACACTTTTCCAGAAAGATGCCTGCTGCCACAAAGCAGTAGTAAAGTATATCATAATACTGGGCTTCAAGAATTGTTATTTTTACCAGAAAACAGACAAGTCTAAAAGCCCCTACTGCCACAGATAGATAAAATAAGATTTAAATTTTACTGTTTTGTTTCTACATTGCAGTATTTCAGAATGCACTGATTTTTTGAAAGTAGGTATTCATATTTTAAAGCAAGCAATGAAATATTAGCAATAGCTACAAGGATATTCTTTAACATACTGCCATTTTAAAGAACAATTTCATTAATGTGACTTCCCTGAATTTGCTGGGTAAGAACTTTTTAAGGTGGGATTGTAGAATAAAGATTAATAAAGACATACAAATTCCTGGGCTCCACTCAAAACTCACAAAAGAACTTCATAACCTGTTTTTAACAAATTCTCTAATAAAAGCTTCTTTTATATTTTGTAAATACTACTTGTGCAAAAAATAATTAACATAGCAGGCGCAAGACTATTTCTAGAAAGGTGGGCTTGAAAATTTAGCTCATGGTTGGCATCTGGCAAGTTGGCTTTGAGACTGCAGTTGACTCACTGTGCCTAAGCTGTCTGCACAAACGATATGGTTTACGATGAACCCCTGCCTTCCTTGTGGGTGTCTGGAATTCTGCTGAGTGCTGAAGCAGAAGGTGCCTACAAGCTGCCTCCATAAAAACTCTGGACAATGGAACTTGGGTGAGCCTCACTGGGAGAAAACACTTCAGACATGTGGTACTGACGCATTGCTAGGGGAATTAAGGTGTCCTGTGTGAGCCCACTGGGAGAGGACTCTTGGATACTCGAGCATGGTTCCCCCCACATTTCAATCCCACGTGCCTTTTCCATTTACTGATTTGCTTTGCACTATTTTGCTGAGTCCTGTGAGTTTTCCTAGTGAATTATCAAACCTGGAGTAATTGGGGTTTCTTCAACACTAATGTATAAAATTCCTTCTGCAGAATCCCAAGTATTTCAAAAAACTATTATATATTCATTAGCAACTTACAAATTGCTAACTTTAAGATGACTAAAGCTGAAAGTCAGTTCTATAGTACTCACAAAGTTATTTACTTTTGAACTACTAGTGAAACAATATTCAAAAGATAATTTAACATTCATTTTCTCAAAATTCAAAGTTGCTATTTCAACTGCAAATATAACTTGAGATTCTATTACATGATTATTAGATTTTATTCTATATATGTAATTATTTTTAATGCCACCCAAATTAGAAACTTATCCCTCTCCCCCCCCAAAAAAAACCAGAAAAACAAACCCATATGCATACACAAAACCATTTACTGTCCATCACAATTTAGGTAGTGATACATTCTTACCATGTGGAGTGATTGTCTGCACAGGTTTAGCAGGGGACCTCACATTCCATATAGTCAAAGTGCCATCTGAATGACTACAAATAAATTGTTTTCCTTCATGATGCCAAGCCACAGAGTGAATAGCCTATAAAAAGGGGGTGACGAAGTCCATTTTTTAAAACAAAAGCTTATTTAAACATGAAGCTATTCATTATTGATACTATAATTAATTTTCATACAAATTTTTATCTCCCAAACAGAAAACAATATGGTAACCTTACATTCCCATAATAGTTTAGCTCTCTTGCAATACAACTAGGATTTAATTTAGTACTGCCACTATTTTAATTCTTTTTACTTAAGGTACTCCCTAACAGCCTAAGGAAGATATAATAGTGATATATGTGTTTGCATGTGTGTGTATAAAACTGTAAGTTCAGGAAAATGAAATGTATTCTTATTCTTTCTTAGAATAAATTGCACCTAAATCAAATACCATGTAAGTAATTATAACAACCAATATTCCATGTAACAACTAGGTGCTTTGACATAAGACAAATTTTTAAAATTCACTAAAATTCTAAGAAAACCAAAATATATACTTGGAATTAAGATCAATTAAAAATACCTCAGGTTGGCCTTCAAAACATGTTATGAGTTTCTAATAGTAAGTAAAGAATCAATTTTTAAAATCTGAAGAGACCCTCTCTTGACTAGAAATTTACTTGATCTCTTTAAGTCACTTAAAAATGACCTGAAAAATATTTTTATATAACTCAATATGTTACCCTTCGGTTCCTTATTCTAACATTTAATTTTCTGTCTGTCAAAAAACATTTTTAATCACTCTCCTAGGTCCTTTAAAGTACCTCTTCTTAACTCAAGCTAATACATTTCCAGTTCTTCATGGCCACATGACTTTAAAAGCTGCCCTACTAACAGTGTCAGAACTGTGGACTACAGCACAAAAACCATGTACCTAATAAAAACTTAACAGTTCTGCTCATGTACAAAGTCAGCATTTACTATGATCTAATTCATGTCCATTCATTTGGGTTCCTCAATGCTTATAAATTTAAGTTAAATGAAACAATTTGATATTATGGATCAGATTTAAAAATGAAAATGATGATAAAGCCAATAAGAATTTTTCCAAATGCCAATATTTAACACAATGTTTTAGGTTCAAAGTATCTCTAAAAAATTCTAAATGAAATCTTAAAACAGTAATAAATTTTTCCAAGTTACATATGAAATTCCACAAACTCAATCTTAATATAAGCAATCCCTTACAGATAAAGCATTTCTGCAAAATATGAGCAGTGCTAAGAAGCTTATTCACAGAGCCATTTAAATCTATTTTTTAAACTGGTAAGGGAAGTACAAGAGCAGTCTATAAGTATTGTCTGCTACCTATAAATAAAGAGTCTAGTCTTATATATAAAAATATGTACATTTTTATAACTATGTATTAAATATAAATGGAAAACCAGTACTTCTAATTTGCCAAAGAAAACAATATATATCTATTTAAACTACCTTTTAATTAAGACATTAAATTATTAAACAGTCCAAAAATAAGCAGTAATTTACAATTATTCAGGATAACAGTGAGGAAAATATTATAGAAAATACCCTACTAAAGAAAAAAACAAAATGAACTTTACACGCAATAAACATGAACAAGTTTTTTCTATTAGTTCTGCAATTTTCTAAATACAAATTCAACTTGGCAGAAGATCTCATGGTTTCTAATACTCTTGCTCTAATGCTATTATATGTAATACTGCATATGTTACATATGTATTACATATAGCCTATATAAGTACTTATAAGATCCTTATATAGCATATACATAATATTATATGTATAGGTATAATACAACTAAAAAATGGGCAAAGGACTTGAACAGACACTTCTCCAAGGAGGACACACAGAGGGCCTAGAGACATATGAAAGGATGTTCAGCATTACTGTCCATCAGAGAGATGCAAATTAAAACCACAATGAGACCACTTCATAGCAGTCAGAATGGCCATCATCAACAAATCAATAAACAACAAGTGTTGGTGAGGTTGTGGAGAAAAGGGAACCCTAGTGCACTGTCGGTAGGAATGCAGACTGGTGCAGCCACTATGAAAAACAGTATGGAATTTCCTCAAAAAACTAAAAATGGAACTGCCTTTTGATCCAGCAATTTCACTGCTGGGGTTATACCCTAAGAATCCTGAAATTCAAATCCAAAGGAACCTATGCACCCCAATGTTCACAGCAGCACAATTTACAATAGCCAAGTGCTGGAAGCAACAACCTAAGTGCCCATCAGTAAATGACTGGATAAAAAAAACTATGGTACATTTACACAATGGAATACTACACAGCAGAAAGAAGGAACTCCAACCCTTTGCAACATCATGGATAGAACTGGAGAGCATTACGCTAAGTGAAATAAGCCAGGCAGTGAAAGACAAACACTAAATGATCTCACCTGTAAGTAAAATGTAATCAACACAACAAACAAGCAAGCAAAACAGAACCTCAGACTTGTAAATAAAGAACAATTTGACTGTAACCAGAGGGGATAATGAGGGAAAGAAGGGGAAAGGTCAAAGTCAAGGAACATGTATAAAGGACTCATGGACAAAGACAACAAGGGGTAGGGAGAGGGTAGAGGATTGAACATGGAAGGTGGCAGGTGGATAAGGCAGGGGAGAATAGTGGGGAGGAAATGGGGACAACTGTACCTGAACAACAATAAAAAATTTTTTAATGTCCCATAGTTTTGTCCATTCAACAGCTGATGGGCACTTGAGACGCTTCCATATCTTGGCGATTATAAATAACACTGCAGTGAACACAGGGGTGCTTAGTTCTTTTGAATTAGTGTTCTGGGTTTCTTCCAATATATCCCCAGAAGTGGGATCACTGGATCAAAAGGCAGATCCATGTTTAATATTTTGAGGTGTCTCTCTCTATACTGCCTTCCACAGTGCATTATTAAACCCTCTCGTAAATCCATTCAGAGAATTTCTCATCTGAGACATTTTATTTTTGATCTCTAGAAATTCTACTTGTACATTTTAAGTCTTCCATGTCTTTCCTCAACATGTTCATGCATTCATTTACCTTTCTAGAATATAAGGGAGTCTATAACAGGTTTTTTTCTGCTATCTAAAAATTAAGTAGTTCTATGAAACCTTTTGTAAGTCAAAATGACTTAAAGTGAAGAAACAATTCCCATTCGTTTATATTTAAAAGTGTTGAGCATTTCCAGTCTTAAAATTCAGTGCACACTCAATGTCATTATTTCATTCATCCCAATCCAAATGTTTAATTACAGCCAATTTTATGCTAAGTGTAATACCCTCAACACGCTCTCTTAAGCTTTTTTGACACCACAGACACGTCTTGCTAACGAATACACAAAATCAATCACGATAAAGATCAGATGCTCACAGATACAGTTCAGAGCTATGGAGGCTTGATGCTGAAAGGCTGAGTGGTTCCCAGAAGGGAGCCTGGCAATGCCACTCTCTTCAGTCCTTGGGACTTACGCTGTCTCTACCTGGCCTGCTGCAAAACAAACACTGACTGCTCACTAATTTCATTTTTTGCCTTTATTCATAACTGTGAAAATCTTCTCCAGATTTCTTTTGGTTAAAATACTATGCTAATGTAGGCCTTTCACTGAAGTGAAGTAACGTGAACTTTTGAAAAGCAAGGAATACCTGGACAGACAGGCACCACTTAATACTGAGAACACAGTCTGAGAAATGTGCTGTTAGGTGATTTACAGGTGCTGTGCAAGCATCAGAGAGTATAACTGCACTTCCCTGGATGGCAGAGCCGACCACTCCCATGAGCTCTGTGGCATACCACCGCCACATATGCCATCATTGACCAAAAGGTCCTTCTCTGACATCAGACTGTATCTGCCTTCTCTACTAATTATATCATACGTGTCAATTTCTGAGTCTTTTTATTAACTGCACTTTCTTCACATTTTGAATCAGATTTTCTGGCTCCTTTGCATGCCTCATAATGTTTTACTTGGATGCTAGCCATTGTGAAATTCATGGTGGGTTTTTATATTCTTTTAAATATTTTCTGGAACATAGTTGTTATTACTTGGAGACTGTTTGGATTTTGCAAGGCTTGTTCTTCAGCTTCCTTAAGCTAGCTAGGCCAGTCTTTAGTATAGAGCTAGTTTGGCCCCGCTGAGGTAATACTTTTGTGAGTACGACGTTTCCTGATGCCCTATATATTACAAGGTTTCTCCGCTGTGCTGGGAATTTGACCTATTCTCAGCCTTGTGTGTGCTATAGAAATTGTTCTACCTACTCCTTTCCAAGAGATCTTTTCCAAGCCTCTCACACTCATGTACTTACTGGCAGTCAACTGGAGACTTGGGTGGGGAGCTCCTTGCAGATTTTTGAACTCCTTCTCTAGGTAGTTCCCTACTCTCTGGTGCCTTGCTGTATAAGCTACACATATCTTGCCTTCCCCAGTTCCCCAACTCTGTCTCCTCAATTAGAGGGAGACTGTTGGATTTCTTTAACGTACTGAGATCTGGAAAATTTCTCTAGGCCATAAGCTAAGGCAAGTGAAGGGATCACTTTGTACCCCTTTCTCTAAGGAATGCCTATTTGACACTTCTGCTGTCTTATTTCTAAAAACTATTGTTACATATATTTATCCAACACACTGTTTAAGTAAGAGTGCAAATTCGGGCCCTGCCACTCCAAAATGACTAAAGCCAAAATTACTATTTTAACTTATAAAAATAAAATAAAATAATCAATTTAAAAAAGATCTATAGGTCAAAACTTCCTATATTAAAATACTGTTTTTATAATTTCAAGATATGAATTAGTGAGCCAAACAATGCTTACTAACTAAAAGCATGAAAAACAAAAAGTATACAGCTATGAAAACAAAGGAAATTCTTTCAGTTATGTTTACAAAGATAATATACAGTCATTTATAAAGTATTCTAATTCTTGCTATAGTTATACAACTTAGCCTGCTGTTTGAGTAACTGAAAGTATCAATACAAAGACATGACACCTTTTATCATAAAAACAAACAAACGAGCAAAACCATTTACACATTTCCTAGCCCCATTCACTGAACTGGAAATCATGAATGCCCCCAGTATCTAAACTATGGTCAGATACTATTACATACTGAAATATGCCACAGTTTCATAGAAAAGGATCTTATTCCAAGTTTGGGACAAATATTCACAAATTAATAGGTATATTTTGTCGTAACAGACAGCAAGGAAGCTATCCAGGAAGTAGTCTTCACCAAAGGAGTCAGGAACCGAAAAAAGGAGGTTCACTGACCAAAAATGAAACAACTTGAAAACCAGTCATTTCAAAGTACTGAAGCACATCAAATAGGTTTAATCTTTGAATACAGAGTAAAACTAGAAATAAGAACCAACTGGTACCAGTTGAAGATTACTACAAAACAACCCCTTTAGAGTAACTACTTAACAGAAAGAACAGAGTATTTACCCTGCCCTTCCTATATGAACTATATACTACTGTATAATCCGGTACGATAACTAAGAGGAAATCTCTCTTTACTTAAGTGGCCTCACTAATAAAAACAAGGAAGGAAGTATAAAGTTAAAACGTGCCCATTTTGCAACCACTTGGCACTAACAGGTAATAGGCCTCGAATGTCACTGACTGCTAATATCACACACACTATCACACCTGATATTCACACGATATTCCACCTGAGAAAAGACCAACAGCAGCATCTATGAAGTAATCTTGCTAAAAGTAAAAAACAAACCTGAATTAGATCAATCCTCAGTAACTATCCAATTTATAGGGAGTATGAGGGTAAAAAAATATTAAACGCATTAAGACTGCGTTTAACACAGTGAAACCCATTGTTGGGCAGACTCTACCCTTAACAAATAAATGTCAAAAAAGAGGAAATGAGGTAAAACACTAAAAAAAAAAAAAGCGACAGGAGAGGTCACAGTTTAAAACAGACTTAAAAGACTTACTAATCAATCACAATCAATTTATATTTGGTCTTAAAGCAAGCAAACTATAAATGTCTAAGGAATACTATGATCATTTATACAAAATAAAAATACAGTGCTTACTAATTTGCTTATAAATGCAAATTTATAAGCAAAGTAAGAGGTATTACAGAATACCTCTGCAAAAATACATTAAAAAATTGGCAACACTGGTACCTGGGGTAGGAGAATTTTATGGTGAAATGATAGGAATGGGAAACAGAATATTAATATTTTTCAGCTTTTAGTATCTTTGGTATCTATTATATAAAAGATATTTGTGTGTTTATTGCAGTTTCCAAGGTTGCCTAAACTAAAAGCACTAATTGAGTTCTTAGAAAAGCTGCTCTGAACTAGAGAAATGACAATATCTTTTGATTAGCAAAAATAATGAATGTTATTACCTCATCATATGTGTATCTGTAGTCAGCTTTCTTTGATTTGAGGTCCCATAATACTACTGTTCCAGATTCAAAGCCAATCAAAAGCTGTAATAAAAGAAAATGCCATATTACCTAGGAATGATATTAACCATATAAAATATTCATTTTCTGACAATAAAAATAACAATTGTCATCAATATGCTTCCAATATAATATAAACATTTGCATTGCTAATTATTAATCACATAGATGACAAATGAGAACACCACACTGTATATTTATATCTTTGATTATTAGGAACTCAACATTTATCATAAAATTTTTTTGTAAAAGAGAACTACCGTTTTGAAGTCTTTAGTGTCATTTTTATTAAAATAACATAAAAATTATCATTACAAATTAACATTTGTTATTTGCTTTAGAGTTTACAAACTTTTCTAATTCAACACATTATCAGGTACTTTCATTTATTTATCGATATATTGATTAGTTCCAAATTATAGCCAGCCTAGATCCTCTCGAGATTTAGACCCATAATTCCGAAGGCTACACCTCCACTTACCCACTCAAGAAGAATCTCAAAGTAAATGTGTCCAAAAGTGAGTTTTTTATTGTCTTCCCTGCCTTCCTCTGGTATTCTCTGTTGCAGTATCTCTCCATTCCTTATCTCACCATTCATTAAGTTGCTCAGGCAAAAACCTAGGGGTCCTCTTAACTCTAGTTTCTTCCCCATCAGGTAAAATCATCAAGTAATTTTAAAATTGCTCTTATCATCTAATTTACTTTCCTCCACGTCTAACACCTGCTCTTGGTTCAACACACAAAGATCTCTACGATGATCACTTCTCATCATTATGTTGTACACCTGAAAACTAAATGAATACAATATTGTGTGTCAAGTTTAATTTTTTAAAAAAAGACACAAAGACCTCTTCTGGTCTCTTAGTCTCCTCAATTCCAAGTCTTGTTCCTTTTTTAATCCATTCCATATTGCAACTAGCGTAAAGTTCTAAAATGCAAACCTGACTATGTAATGATCATGTAATATTATTGAATATGGATGAAGTCCATTCTTAACAAGATTTCATCATGGTCTGACCTCTGCTTACCTCTCCAGCTCCATCCACTACCACACACTCTGTACCTAACGCACTCCAGTGGATCTTTTAGCTCATGCTTTCCTTACCTTGGAGCCTTTGCACATGCTGTCTACCCGGGCCTCTCTATTCAAATGTCATGTTCTGCCTGACTAACCCTATTAATCCTTCAGATGACCTTTTAGCTACTACTTCCTCTGTGAGGCCTTCCTTGACTTTCCAAATGTAAGTCAATGCCTTTTCTATGTGCTCCAACAGCACTCTGCACTATTTTTATCTGAAGGGTCACCACACAATATAGTGGCCTTTGACATGTCTGAATTCTCTTGCATATAATAACACTGGTCTATTTAGGCAAAGATTGGTTTTATCTTATTCACCACTATATTCTAACATAAGACACAAGGTCTAATCTGTTGTAGGTACTTAATAAACCTTTATGAATGAATGGATTTCAGAATGGAACGCACATTCTTGCTTTGTAAACTACCTACTGCCTACCCAATTTCTGCTGTCCACCATCCCCAACTGGGAGTTTTCCAAATCTCAGTATTCCATCTGCTTGACACCTCCTCCCCTTTTATTTATTCAGCAATGTTTTACTCATTTTTAAGTCTCAACTTAGTGCTGCTTCCTTGGGTAAGCCTACCCAGTTCCTCTGGAAGGACAACGATGCTCCTTCTCCTATGCCCGCACACGCCTGTTCATCTATATGTCTCTAATAGCTAATACACTGCCAAATACATATTAGACACTCAAATATTTGCTTAATGAGCATACAACTAATTACTAGGTACTCAATATTATCATTCATTAATCTGAAATATGAACAAAGTTTGGGACAGACCTAGTAATTTTAATGAAATAGCATTTTAGTAGATTTCAGACTACAGAGCCCTTGAAGAGGCCAGTCTTTGAAGCTAACAAAATAGGTTTCCCCACCTTGGTGGAGAGTATAGTTAATTTCTTCACTTGTTTTCGTTTTTCACAATGTATATATAAGCCACACAACGTCTGTTGCAAAGTCTAGTTCTTGAGTAGTTTGCATACTTAAAAAATACCAAAAAATTTTACATTTCGTTAATAAATATATCTTTTAGGAAAAATTCTACCTTTCCTTCATCCATTGGATTATCACTTATATGGACAACAGGTCCTGGATGAGATTTAGATGACCTAAAAAAGAAAAAGTAAGATTTTTTTCTCACCTAAACTTTCCAATGTAATTATGTATTCATCAAAATAAGAATAATGAGCGGACAATAAAGATGTATTTATAAAGGGTGTAAACATTTCAGTAATTGATCAATAACAGATGTTTAATTTTTACCATGGACTAAAATAGGAATCAGAAAAAATAGTGACTGTTAAATTGATACAAGTAAGCAAAATTTAAAATTAAGTACACTTTGCATATAAGAAATAACCTTCAATTAGTATTTTAGCCCAGAAAATCTATTCTCATGATATAATTCTCAGATTTAATATTTTTAATAAAGCAGTATCTATCACACTGCTATCTGATTTTACTCAATTCTAGCCTCCAATTAGGGCTTCTCATCCAGTTCCACAGTTCACATCAACAGTAGAAAAAATTCTATTATGTTTTTAAGAAAAAAATCAACAGATAAACTTGCTCAGATAAAATGAAGTCATGCAGCTAAGAATGTGGCTAAACTGATGCCTACACAGTACGATTAAGCACACCCCTGGTCACAAACTCCGACGGCTGAAAGATCAGTCCACTGATGAGAGCCATTTGTGAAACTATACAGACACCCACACCAGACCCAGCCACCAGACGCTGTAATCAACTCAAATAGCAGACCACGAAAAACCACACCCTCTGCCAAGGGACTGAGATATGATAGTAATGTCCCTGCCACAGGAAGGAAAACCAAACTTCATGCATCAACAGACTTATGATACTGGCCACAAATTTATCGTTCTGTCAAAGTGATATAACATCTGTGAAACACAACAATATAGAATTGTTTAAAAACAAAACCAAAAGAAACAATGAAAATAAATCTTGGCAATATTCTTAACTTTTAATTTTTATGTCTAATTAGATAAGAAAAAGCTTAAGAGAAAGAGATAAGATGCAAAGATAAGATTCCAAGAAAACGTGAAAAGTTAGCAATGAAAGTTAGGATTCTTAAAGCCCTTTAGCTCACCTAGTTTTTGATGTTGTTATTGTAAAATGAAAGCAATCACCATTATATCAAAATCAAGGAAAATTAATTGCCAAGTTAATTTTGCCATGTTATACAACAAACATTTACATTACATTTATTAATTATCAAAACATACCAAGTAGTAGTTTAAATAAGCATTTTCCAAACACTGGTAGCAACTGATTAGTGGGTCATAAAATCAGTTTAGTGGGGCATGACAAGCATTTGAAATAAAAATAATTACAAAATAAAAAGAAGAGTGTTCTTCACTTAGTAAGAATGATTTTCTCATTAAACTTGTGCTACAGTTTTTACATATAAACACATACATGTGATATATATACAAGGTTGGAAAGGTAGGTCTACAGTTGTCCATATAGAAAACAATATAATAATTAATAAACAATAACAGAATAAACTGTTTCATGTACTCAACTGTTACTCTACTTTTGCCCATGTCTGCATATGAAGATTTTAAATGTACAACTGCCGAAAGGACAATATTACTTACAAAAGACTAATCTATATTTAATATCAAGAATATCCAATACATATCTAATTCAATATCAGTTTAATGACTACCTATTACATAATATTATCATATATGGTATTGGTACTTTTAGACAGGGAAATCTGCTCAAACTCACAGTTCAATGGCTTTATTCCACATAATGACGTAGCCTGAGAGTGTGAAGGACTCCACGTTGACAATATGTATATTACCTCGTTCAGTGCCCACATAGAGCCACTTACTCTGAAAAGGCAAATGGCAAAATGTAACCCTGCAAGAGAAAATATATATTTTAAAGTGAGAAAAATGCCCGATATATTTTATTAATTCTACTAGAGGGTCAATCATGATAATATATAATTTATGGAAAGCAAAAAAGATACACAACCAATAAATTTAACCACTCATTGGGATTAATATTTCATTGTGCTAATTATGATAAAACATTAGATCTAGTCATCGTGGTTAATATTTAATTATGCTAATTAAACTTATGCTTATTTAAATATAAGGTCTTACAGTAAATGGCTATCCTGACACTATAGACAGAAGATAAGTTTTGAAATTAAAGCTGTTATCCCTCAGTATCCTTGGGGTATCCTGAAACCCATTCCCAAATCCACAGATGCTCAAGTCTGTTATATATAAAATGGCGTATTTGGGTATAACCTACATAATTCTCCCATGTATTATAAATCATCTCTAGGTTACCCATAATATTTAATACAATGTAAATGTTATGTAAATAGCTGCTATACTGTACTGTTTGGGTAATAACAATAAAAATGTTTGTACAACACGTTCAGTACTAATGGAACCATTGTAGGCCTTCTTTTTCCCTGAATATTTTCTATCTGCAGTCAGTTGAATCTGCAGACGTGGAACCCGCGGATACAGAATTCAAGGACAGGGAGGGTCAACAGTATGTTTCAAATCTGACCATGCCATCTACTAACTGTGTTACTTTGGGCACATCACATCTGACCTTTAAGCAACGACCCAGGAGTCCAATACCCACATCATCCCTACGTAATACTGTATTTCTCAGGCATTATTAAACACAGCATCACTCAGGACCTGTGCATACTATTCCTTCCAGGCAAAATGCTCTTCCCATATTTTTCTTCTGTTCCAGATGCAGTTGAAATACCACCTTCACTCAAATTGACATCCCCACATTTCTGCATGCCTATCAGGCTTTTCCTTATAAGAGAGTTAGGTAGGCTCTACTCTCCTCAAACTTCTAAGCCTCTGGAAGGGAAGAGATCTTCTATATCAGGCTCAAACAACGTTAATAAAATATAATTCAACTACCTCTTCCTAGGTCCTGATGATGTGTGAGAGGCCTTCATTAACAAATTATAGTAATCTACACGCATGTGTTATACTTTATTATCATCTGAACAATTTAAAACATTTTTTATATCAGCTCATTTGTTTTCAAGGCAAAGACAGAAACTACCTTGTCTGTTTAGTACTGCTTATTTAGAAAAGAAAGGCAATGTGTTATGAAACCATATAATGCTCATCTTTTCAGATTCTAATTGTTTCTCAAAATAGCCTAAAATTCAATGGGGTAGCATTTCAAATAATTCACTGATAAAAGTCACTGCTAGACTACTAATACTGACACTAGATATTAGGCAAGATATAGCATACAGAACATTTGCTATTCGTATTAACACGTAACTTCACTACCAAGAATTTTCGAGATGAAACGTTTATCAAATAAATGTAAATGTACATGGTCTCACTATTTCCTAGAGGTAATGTTCATCTAGATGATTTGGTTCACTGTCTGTATTTTCTGCTGAATGTTTTGTAAGTTAACATGTCAACTTTACAAAGGTTTTATGTAAGTGTAACAGCACAGAAATGTCCACTGAACCAAAAAAAAACCATTTTGTAGTACCTTATTACTTTACAAGGCGATAAGTTCGTAGTACCATTCTGAAAACTTTAGAGTCATTTAAGTTTCAGAATTCAGAATTTTCTAGATTTTAGAAAGATACATAATCCATGTTTTGTATATTACTGAGTATGACTGGTAGCATCTCATACACACTGAATATTTTTGAGGTATAATATTAAAGTTTATTTTTATTGAGGTATAACTGCCATATAACATGTTATAATGTTGTAATAACATATAATGTTGTAAATGTGTAAATGTGTTCTAAATGTGTAACATAATTCTATGTATGTGTATAGTATGAAATGATCATCACAGTTAAATCTAGCTAATATCTATCACTACAAATATAGTTAGAAATTTCCTCAGAATGAGTATTTTGAAAATCTATTCTCTTAATAACTTTCAAATATACAATGTTTACAAATATACAATAATTATAGGTACTGTCAGTTTCTTAAAAAATTAAACATACATACACCCTATGATCAGCCTTTTTTCCCTATGTATTTACCCAAAGAAAGGAAAGTACATGCCTGTAACACGATTTATATACAAATGTTCACAGCAGCTTTGTGATAGAAACTGGAAATAATCCTAATGTCCATGACCATCAACAAGTAAATGGATGAACCAACTGTGTCACATACTAGAGAAACTTGATACATGCAATGAAGTTGATGAATCTCAAAATCCTTACGATGAATAAAAGCCAGAAAAAAAGGCATATTGTATGATTCCATTTATCTACAATTTATATGCAATAGAAAATGCAAACTAAACTATTGTACAAGAGAACACATCAATGGTTTCCTGGCGAATATGGAGGTAGAGACTAATAACACTAAGAAGGGATTACCACAAGAAAACATTTTGAGGTGATGGCACATTCGTTTTCTTGATTGTGATGATAGTTTCATACATGTAGATCTATGTTAAGAGTTACCAAACTGTACATTTCAAATGTGTGCAGTTTATTATTCATTAATTATTCCTCCACAAGACTGTTTTAAAATGTTCTGTTTTCACAGATTTGTGGATTGAGGAATTATGAAACTGGACTGTCACTCTGATTAGTATACAGTAGCAAGCTCTGGAGTTAGACTGCCTGAACTTATTTTCCAGCTGTGCCACTCACTGGCATATAAGGACCTTAGTTGGCCTCTCAGCAGCTCAGTTTCTAAGCACTATAGCAAACCTCACAGTGTTCACGCCTCATGGTGTTCACCAAGTAAGACAAACCCTGGTAGATGTTTAACAAGAAGTCTCCATAGGTAGGTGTTCAATAGACATTAGCTAATTATGATTAAAACTAAATGATATCCTACCAGCTAAATGTTACAGGCAAATTTAAACTACATAAAGTAAATAAAATAGTTTGTCCACTTCCCTCAGATAATTTTAATTTCCACATTGCTCTAGAATTAGCATAGAATCTGCATAGACCAGAATCATAATCAGTATTTATCAAATGAATTAATGCAGAAAAACTTCAGAATGAAGATATTATTTAGTACTTTTCTCAAATTAACTGCATATTACACTGCCTTGTTATTAAATGAAATTTTAAGTTTGCATTAATGAACATGGGAATGCATTAAAATAACAGCAGTCAGATGAAAGCAACTTAAAAATCTGTTCAAACAATTTCCTTTCTATTTATAGTCCTACATCTTTTCTGATAAACTGCCATAGCTGCTTTAGAAAAATCTTCAAATAATAAACTTCAGAGACCTTCAAAGGCCATTTTACATTTGTATTGATTTACTGTATTCTTTACTAATTATAAGTCAATTTACATAAGATGTTTAAAAACTTCTAGAAATATATCCAAAGAAATCAAAATATTAACATTTCTTGTGAAATAAGACCTTAATATATAACATCAAGGACTATCAAAAACAAGTATCAATCCTTGCCCATGATGGAGACGTAGGTAAACATGCCTCACCTCTGTGCACAACTATAGCAAAAAATACAACTAGACTACAAAACAAGTATCACCCAAGATATGAAAATCGATATACGTAGAAGTCCAACAACCAAAGATTTAAAGAAGCCACATTCATCCAAACAGGTAGGAGGGGCCTCGAGATGCACAGTGACATGGAGTAGCATGGAGCAGCGAGGACGTGGGAAAGATGGTCTACACTCATGTGTGGTGGATAAAAATCAGGAGGGACACCCTGGGAGCCAGGGATCACAGCAGCAGTCCAGACCACCCAGTCCGGGGTTCCAGCTCTAGAAAGATAAATCCTCATAACTTCTGGCTGTAAAAGCCAGCGGGAGATGGGGAGGGGGAGGGCAGAAGTAACTATGGGATTCTCAAGAGACTACTCTTAAAGGGCCCACAGTGGACTTAGGACTTATGCAGACCCATCCCCCCCTGGGATTCAGCACCAGGGCAACAGCTAGAAGGGCGCCAATGGCATAGAGAGAAAAAGTGAAGTCCAAGTGTCAGGAAACAGCTTCCTCACAGGCAAAACTCCATAGGTTAGGCAGTGGCACTATCCCTTCTCAGAACACTCGCCCACACAAAGCAACAGAGCAGCAACAGGGGTTGCTCCACCTTGGCAACCTCTAAGGCTCCACCCCAAATGATTCAATGGGTGCCTTTTCTACAGTAGGCTGCATGGCTAACACAGGGAGTCAGCCCTATCTAATACAGAGAAGCAAACAAACGGAGGCTGCCAAAATGAGGAGACAAAGAAATATGGACCAAATGAAAGAACAGATCAAAATTCCAGAAAAAGAACTAAATGAAATGGAGATAAGCAACCTATAAGATGCATAGTTCAAAACACTGGTTATCAGGATGCTCCAGGAACTCATTGGGAACTTCAACAGCATAAAAAACACCCAGGCAGAAAGGAAGCTTGCATTAAGTAAAATAAAGAAAAATCTATAGGGAATCAACAATGGAGGCGATAAAGCTGAGATTGAAATCAACGATCTGGAACATGAGGAAGGAAAAAGCATCCAATTAGAATAGCAGAAAGAAAAAAGAATTCAAAAAAACAAGGACAGGCTTAGGAACTTTGGAGACATCTTTAAAGGTGCCAACATACAAATCATAGGGGTGCCAGAAGGAGAAAAGAGCAAGAAATTGAAAATTCATTTGAAAAAATAATGAAAGAAAGCTTCTCTAATTTGGTGAAGGAAACAGACATACAAGTCCAAGAAGCACAGTGAGTCCCAAACAAGACAGACCCCAAGAAATATCAAGACACATCATAATTAAAATTTCAAAGGTTAAAGATAAAGAGAGAATCTTAAATGCAGCAAGAGAAAAGCAGAGAGTTACCTTCAAAAGAGTTCCCATAAGACTCAGCTGATTTCTCAAAAAAAACAAAAACAAA